GAGCAGTTACTACTTCTATTGCATAGATACAACTCATATATAGGATCTGTCTGGGCCCTACCCCTTATGGTCCTGCATGCCTTTGCTTATACTGTGAAGCCTGTACGTGACGCCATGCGGCTCTCGTTATGGGGCATCATCGCTCGCTGGTCCTCAGATAAATGAAGTGTACAGTGTCCCCTTGGGAGCACTCATGGTCTGCACTGTACCAATGTGAGTAGGCGATTGTTAAGGGAGTGGATTGCGTACTACCAGATACGGCGGGATGACGTCGATCTACTCCGAGATCGGTCGCTGTATGTTGGCGTGTATAGCAGCCTCCGTGGTCACCTTCGGGGTCACGTGTATGTTGTCTTTAGTGAGTTGTTGGTTATAGGCGCTACAACATTATCGTATAAGCAGATACGGTGTAGAAGCAGTAGACTATGTGGATCAAGCAAGATGTCTTTGGCGGAGGCCGATTCGGCATTGCTCACTTACTTTCACACCCTCTGCAACACCTTGATGTCGCCCTCTGAAGTCCAGGAGGTGGGTTCGATCCCTGGGTGCGGCATCTCACTGCTACCTCCTAGGACTATGATCTAGCTCGAGCAGCCTCAGCGGTATGCCAGAAGACTCTCTACCAGGCCTGGAAGCAGGCTGATGATGAGGGAGCTCTGCGGGTACCACTAACCCCTATCTCTATGACAATTAAGCGCGTTCATTCAGGTGACCCATCTACAGGCGGCTTGCTTTGGGAATTTGGTCACTCTCGCTCAAACGGTGGGGAAGTCGTTGTACCTTATCCTTCGGGCAAGGAGGCCTTTTCAGATACACCCACCCCGTAGTGGAAAACCTCTGTCATTCCCAGCGGCCTGTGGAGGGCTGGTCACTGCCTCCTTCATGCTCAAGTTCACTAGTGTCGTCGCTACGGTCTCCGAAAGTAAGCATCTAGTCATGGAGTGTGCCTCTGAAGTATTACCTGTAGATTCGTTGCCAAGTGAGGAGTTGTTGACTGATCTCATACAGTCTAGTATGAGTGCTCACATCACGCAGGGGTATAAGAGCTCAGCTGCTGATGCCTTCGCACTACAAGCTGCTGTTATCGAGATGGCGAGATTCGTGAGAGAACAATACAGCGCTCCTTATGGGTAGTTGATCCCTTGATAGGTACGTGCAATGAGACGTGTACGCATGGCCACAACCCAGTATGTTGCCTCGACTATGGGCTCCTTCAAAGTGATGATTAAGATGCTAGCAAGGTAATGCTCCTTCTCCTCCGAGTGCTTGCCCCATGTGGGTCATCACAGGAATACCGCATTTCAATGGAGGGGGGTGGTATCGCCTCGACAATGGTTTAAAGATCGCTCTGAAGCGGAGAGTGCACTGTAGGATGATGATTATGAGCTGAGGTGGTGATGAGTAATATCACTCGGACAGGTACTTTACAATGCGTATTGCTATGATGATGTTGGTATCAACACTACTGTATACAGTATGGGAGGGGAGGGATGACGCCATTGATGCGTAAATAGTGGGAGGGGGCGTTGGAGGATGCCGCCTCCATCATTGTTGTTAGTTACGCCCTCTGGGGCCTGCTGCCTGGCCTCATGATATTACAGTTGCTGCCCAAGGGTGGCGCGGTAGTATTGCCTAACCCCCCAACAGTTCTCTCGTAACCAGTTGTCATCAGATCCGTGCAGTGTATTGCGTAGCGCCTCTCTTCGCATGGACCCTCCTGGGCAGCGCCCTTGGGCTAGCCTCTGCTGAGAGTAACCGTGGTAGCATCAGTGCCTACGCCACACAAATGGTAATGTCCCGCCACACCACGATGACGCGTTGGTATCCCAGGTGCTGCTGGCTGCTATCGCTTCCTATCTACATCGTGGATCCCTTAAGAAGGTGTCGGGGCCCATTCTAGCATATCTATCATGGCTCGTAGTGGCTGTGGCTAATAGGAACGATGACGAGGGTAATATTTCCGAAGAGTCTGATGGAATTCGCATATAACACTCCATTCTTTATACCATTATGAATTGGCTCAGGTCGAGATTCCTTAGCCATATGGCATGTGGCACTGTACCGAATAGCCATAGTCTGCACAGGTGTCTTCCTCGCGATGATCTTCGTGGTGAGTGCTCTCCTATTCCCCCATCAGTTAAGGTACTCTCTCAGATGTTGCCCCCACCGTTCCGGCTCCTCCCTGCTCTCGATGGGCCGCATACGGAACTGGTGCAGACAGCAGTTAACGTCGCCGTCCGGTCAGTGGTTAAGGCCAATCGTTGCTATGCTAACAATGGAGTTAAAGCAGAAGGACAGAGTGCCTTAGCGTAGGGCTCCTATATCTGCATGTCTCCGTGCTGCGAATAGTAGATCACCTTCGGCTCTGTCACAAATGCTCCTAATCACTGCTCGCTTATCATTCGCATTGACAACGTATTGCAGTCCTTCAAAGCTGTCCTCTTTGTCGAGGGATTTCCTCGATGTAGGTACTCCCGTAGCATGAGCCGCCCAATTTCTGTAGCCACCGGAGAGGAGGAGGAGAAGCCACAGATAGCAACCTATCCGTCTCCTATACCTCGAGATGGGGCTCTAGAGGGAGTAGATCCTCACTCACTTGACTTACTGGTGAGCTCCCTAGACCTTGCGCCTGTTAACTCTCAGCTCAGGTGCATTTCCCGCCTGCAACTAAGCCTTTGCTACGTCAGAGCAAACTTCAAGATAATATTATGCGACGAGGCGGCCACTCGGCTAATGTTAATGATGCCTTGGTAGCTGCCGAAGCGACTAGTCTGAGTTCATCATCGCTGTCGTCCGCTTCCCAGGTGGATCTGTCATATGCTGCGTTAGCAGTGGCAGGACCGGCCAAGGACTGTCGGCTCGGCAGGGAGGGGGCTGCTGTAGCTGG